ACTTTAAGACTTGTGGACTTCAACTCCCAGAATTCCTCAGCCAGCAAAGCTGGCTGAGGAATTCTGGGAGTTGAAGTCCACAAGTCTTAAAGTTGCCAAGGTTGGACACCCCTGGTCTAGCTTCTTCTTCTTAAGAGATCAAACCATACCAGTCACTCTAAAGCTCGGCCTTCTCTTGCTTTGGCATAGGGGGGTCCTTCAATCCAAATCCCCCTTCCCGATAGATCAGGTCCAACATCTTTCTGTGCCTCCCAAACACTCACCATGCTATGCCGGTTCATAACTGTTGTGCTGTTCCTGCGGGTTCGTAAAACATGAGGCTGAAAAACCTGTGAATTATCACTGGAAAGAAAGAAAGGAAGCAGAATTGTTACAACTCTGCAATGGTTTTCCCCCCACCCCGCACTTTTGCTTTTCACCACCAATCTACCTTCCCTCCTCTTCCAGTCTGTAGCATTTCACTACTGCACACCTTAAGTGCTGTAAAGGAAGACACCTGTCCTTTTGGCGAGAACTGTTCTGCAGGGTGCCGTGTAAATTGCCAGGGCTGAAAATGTGTAGGTTATATTGCATTCCCCTAACCCTTGAGCAGACAGCCAAAGGACTGGTTGGTCCTGTGGTTCTGCACTGGTGTGTGTGTATAAGATTAATCTTGGTAACTTCCGTTGCAAATTTGAAGATCGGGATTGTCTAGGTAGTCCTAATTCTGCCTGGAGTTGAAATCCACCCCTCTCAAAAGTTGTCCAGATTGAGAAATACTGATCTAGAGACCAATCTAGGCCACCTCAATGTGCCACATTATAAACCTTGTTGCTTTAATTATACATTATAATCATTGGTTTTTTTGTCTTTTACTTTAATTATACATTATCATTATTATTGGGTTTTTTAAAATCTTTTATTAATCTTTGAGGTTTTCCAGTTGTATTTCCTTTGGCAAGGTGTGGAAAAAAACAACCAACTTTTTTCCTAACATTTCATGGCATCGTTTTCACTGCAAGTTTCGTTGAATTTTCAGGTGCGCAAAAAGGAAGGACAATGATGGCAAAAGGAAAAAAAAAAAAGGTTTAGGAACTGCTGACCCAAACTAATAAAAAAGGAATGGCAGATTTATTATGGATTTCATCCTTTTCTTGGCACTCCTGCAGGCAAGGCAGGTTATCCTGAGGGGAAAAAAATCAACCTCCCTCCCCCCCCCCAAAAAACCTGGGGGTCTCCCCAGTGCCAGAGAGGCCCTTCCTGTGTGTTCTTGGGGTCCCCGAGACCCTTCAAGGGACCCCCAAAAACTCAAATAAATCCACCTTTTTCAAAGGTCTCCCTATCAGGAGGCTGCGAGTTCGATCCTAGGTAGAGGCTAATATTTGGAATAGACTCTCCTGCTCGAACCAGGGGGGGTTGGACTAGATGACCTCCAAGGCCCCTTCCAACTCTCTCGTTATTCTATGGCCCCATTTATAAGGGGAGGGCGCCTCCGGACCAGCTTTCTCCAACCTGGCGCCCTTTGGAAGGAAGGAAACAAACAAACAAAAAAGAGCCCATCCCGCCTCAACCCGGCACGGCTGGGCAGCATGGGTTTTGTAGTCCGACCCTCTGCGAAGGGGGAGGGGGGGCGGCCGGGCTCAGTCCCCTCTCCTCCGCCTGCCCTGCAGAGCCCCATCCTGCGCGGCGGGCCCGGCTCCGCCCTCCCCGCGCCCGGCCGGCGGTGGCGGATGGGTCCGGCAGTCACCTGAGGCCGTGGATGAGCGGCGCGCTGTTGGAGCGCCTCAGGCCGCCGCCGTCGTTCCCGGCCGGGGGCAGCTCCAGGTCCAGCTCCATCTTCTCGGCCTGGGCCATGGCGAGGGCGGCGCTCAGCGAGGAGGAAGAGGAGGAAGGCCGCTTGCCCAGTTCATGCCCGGCGGGACGGCGGGGCGCGGCGGCGGCGGCGGCGGGGCTCGACGCAGGCCTCAGGCCGCCTCCCCCGGCTACAGGCTCCGTGGGCGCGGGCGGTGCAGCGGGATTCGGCAGCCCCGGCGCCCGCGGCGCCCCATGCCCGGGGAATCGCGGGGCGGCAGCGGCGGCGCCCTGCCTCTTCGTGGCCGCGGCCCGGCCTGGCCCGCCCGGCGGCTCTCTGAGGGGGGGGGGGGGGAAACCAACGGAAGGCGGTGCGCGCGCACCCGCCCGCCCGCGCCTGCGCGGTGGCGGCGGTTGCCTAGGCGGTGGCGGTAGCGGTCGCGGGGAGGCGAAGGAGAGTTAGGCCGCTCGGCGGTGCTGCGCACGCGCAACGGCCGCTCGGGCCGGCGTGGGCGGGATGCTCGGCCGGGTGTCGAAAGGAAGAACGACGAATCACGCTCGGCCGCGCCGCCAGGGGAGGCGCTGATTCGCTGCGCGGCGGGTTAACTTGGTAGCCTCGGCTCCTCTCCGACCAGCCAATCGGAAGAGCGCTTTAAGCCAGAGCGGTCCGGGGACGTCCCTTGGTCTATTTCTTTCCCCCTTCTTCTTTTTGACCCGTTCTAGGTGACGGGTTCGAATCCTGACCTGCAGCGTTTCGGTCTTTAGCGCGGATCTTTTTTTTTTCTTTTTCTTTTTAAAAACAATGCTGCGAGCTGAAATGGCGCGCTTGTCTTTTTTCGCCTTCTTGGCCTCGAAAGCTGTGCGGCTTAAATAGAAGAAGGGCGGCAGGGTAGCCTACCTGAAAAGCGCAAAGGGCAGGATTCGCACCTAGCTCCCAAGTCATGACCTCAGGGCCTCGGTTCACACCTGTAACAGCAGCTCAGGAGCAGGAACTTCGCCTTCTGGGCTACATCTCAACCATATCCTAGGTAGCCCTCACAAGACAGATGAGCACACAATGCCTGGGAGGGGGGCTTTAACCATGGCTAAACTATGGTTTGTCCCCCTTTTTTCAAACTTTATTTACAACTGACACGAATAAAATGGGTGGGGAAAAGCACACCTGCAATTAAAATCTTCCAAGTTTGTTTTGTTCGATGATAAAGAGAAGAGGAAAAAATAGGATTAGCAAATCCTAATAAATAGGAAAAGCGAAGCAGGAGAGAAGAAACCCCAAAGAAAGATAAGATAAAAACCTATTTATATATTACAATTGTCTGTGGCTGAATGACTTATAAGTTCCCCCATGCAATTGTAAAATGTTACTGTCAAATATCACAAACTCTCTGCTACAGTTGTACATAATGCTTCGTCCACTGGTGGGTAGAAAACACTTGTCTTTTTCCAAAAAGGATCTGTCCCACCTTCCCCCAAAGCCATTCCTTAAGATTCAGGAAGGAAAATTCACTCTTGGCTTGACTTGTCAATCATCCCATCATTCTCTCCACCTGTGTCCTCCTAGGGACCTCCCACAAAAAGGTTAGGTAGTGGTATAAATTGAGTCCTTGGCCAGCCAGAGATGGGAAGCGAAGAGACATTTTGGGTGGATTTATCCTGTAAGAGTGGAGCAGTTTTTTTTTTTTTAAGCTGGTAAGTAAAAAAAGGGATCTCAGAATCTTCCTTTTTCACAAAGTTAATAAAAAGGAGTGAAGTAGGAGGTCAGTCGTCCTTTCCACCACTAACCAAAATATAGTTTTTTGAAGAGGTGTTCTGCAAAACCTTTCCAAAAAACTATATTTTGGTTAGTGGTGGAATGGGCGACTGACCTACTTCACTGCTTTTTATTTCTTCTTGAAGGTGTTAGTTGCCTACATATGGTGCCAAGATGCATTTGAAGCAATATATATTTAAGTGGGTCTGTGCAACTTTCACCTGTAAACCATATTTTGTTAAGAGTTTGCTTAAGACTACATAGAGTTAAAGTTAAATTATAATTAAGTGGGTCTGTGCAACTTTCACCTGTAAACCATGTTTTGTTAAGACTTTGCTTAAGACCATATACAGAGTTAAAATTAAATTATAATTAAGTGAGTCTGCAACTTTCACCTGTAAACCATGTTTTGTTAAGACTTAAGACTACATACTGAGTTAAAATTAAATTGTTCTGGAGCACTGGGGTAATATGGGAATATCTTCTCTATTTAAGCCAAGAGAAAGACAGCATAGCATCATTAAAGGCAGGTAGATTAACCTGGGAGAGTAAAGGGAATTAATGGTGTACTTTCTGCAACATATTATGTCTAAACAAACTATAATTACTCATCTAAGCAAGACATATATCTTAAATCTCATATGAACTGGGCCATCCTGTGAAACTCAATACATTTCACTTGTTTGGGCATAACATGTTGTGAGAAGTTAGCAATTATGTTCATTGGCCACGATTTAGGGATTGGTATGTACAAACTCATTCCTTCCCAAATAAATGGTTACGGTTAATCTGCTCAAGTTTCATCTGGACCTTTGTGGGACCTCTTCCTTTTTAAAAAGGTGCTAAATTTGCATCACTGACTTATAATTTATTTTGGGTATATAAGGCTATATTCCATGGCAGTTCCTAGAATGCTGTAAGGCAGCTGTTCCCTACAAAAGCAACTGGACTTTCTTGGTTTTTTCCCTCCTTGAAACTGTTTTGCTTCTCATCTAAGAAGCTTCTTCAGTTCAGAATTGAAGTTTCTTGGATGAGAAGTGAAACACTTTCAAGGAAAAAAACCAAGAAAGCCCAGGTGCCTTTTGGAAAAAACACCTCTGGGGCAACCATGACCTAGATGATTGAGAATCTCCATAGACATCTATGAAGCAACTCTGTTTGGCCTAGAACCAGCTGTTTAAATAATCTGGTTATTGTAATCCCTGTATACAAAATATACTGGGAGATGTCCTTGTTGGGCTGGAGAAAGACTATATCCCTTGTGAGGGGAAGACTGGTGAAAAAATATGATTGGCCAAAGAGTGTCTTCTACGTTCATGGCAGAGACAGTGTTCTTGGGATTTCCTTATCATCAAGAGACACTTTTAGCTATCTAGCGAAACAATGCTGGAATATTTATCCCACAAATATACCCAATGGATTTGACCTCTTTCTTCCTAACATAAAAGCTCTAGTTGAACAATTGGAGAAGTTCCTGGACCTCCCTCGATTTCTTGACAGACGAACACTGGAAGGACTGAGACAACATGGAGGAACTGAAGAAGAAGATGGAGGCTTTAGAGCAAGAGAAAAAGGACTTGCTCCAGAAACTCCAAACCAGCCAAAAAGATCTGAAGGCTGTTTCCAAGGAAAAACAGTCCCTGAAAATCTTGGTAGAAGACCTTCAGGCTGAGAGAGAGACTCTGAATAGTACCATGCATGGTCTTTACAAGACCATTGAGAAAACGGTTGCCGCGGTGAGTAACGAAATACATATATTTTTTAATAACCCCCATCTTAACATTGGATGGGAAGAAAGGTAGGAATGACTGATGCCTTCATGTTTCTCTGTTTGGGTGGTTGAAGAACCTGGAACTGCAGGATCATGTGAGAGCTACTGCCGAGTCATCAAAAGGTTGCTGTGAAATTTTACAGAAAGCCAAGGAGGTGCTCTCGGATAAGGGACCACGACCTCCAAAGGGCCAGGAAATGATGGCTTCACCAATGGCTGACATGGATGAAAAGGTAAGAACATCATAGGTAGGTTTCCTCTTCAGAGTAGAAACAATGGGTTTACAGTAGTGTACAGGACCACTTGAAGATGGGTTGACTTCAACTCCCAGAATTCTCCAGGAGGGGAATCCTGGGAGTTGGAGTCCACCCATCTCCAAGATGCCAAGGTTGAGAAGCCCTCTTATAAAATGTCTTCACTGGAGGTCTTATGCTGCAGTGCTTGGAAAACACCACTTTGACTTGGATGTCTCTCAACTACTTTGAGTTGACCAACTTCAAGACGAGATGCCTTCAGCCGTTCCCCTTGTTGACTCTTTAGCTATTTTCTTGTGTTTCCCTCAAACATAAATGGATATGCTTGGTTCTGGTTTAATGTCAAACCCTTCCAACTCGGCTTAGTTTATGAATCATGGTCAGTTGTGGTTTAGTCTCAAATGCAAACCTAGCCAGATGTTGACCTTACTCTTCGAGCACCAAACATCTCAAAGAGTTTTCTAGCTTTGGTGGTGGTGTATGCTAAGTGAGACATGTAGACGGTGATCGATAAGTATGTATGACAACGTAGCAAAATGGGATAACAAAATAAGAGAGTTGGAGGAGATGATGCAGGTCTTCTAGTCAAACCCCCTCCTCAAGCAGGAGACCCTATCCCATTTGAGACAAAGGGTTGCCCAATCTGTTGTTAGTAAATTTCTCCTTAGTTCTAGGTTGCTTCTCTCCATTAGTTTCCATCCATTGTTTCTTGTCTGGCCTTCAGGTGGTTTGAAGAATAGATTGACCCCTTCTTCATTTTCTTCATTTTTGCTATGTTTTCATTGTCCCTTTTTGCCCTGCTGTCTAACATTTTCACTGCTTTCACTAATCATGCTCACCCTAAGTAGGAAGTAGATGCTACACCTGTTCGCTGCCTTCTGGAATCTTGTCTTGGTAGGTGAAGACAGTGACAGAAGAAGAAGCCCACCAAATAACTGTGAAGGAAGACTGGCTGGTAATTGAAAACAAGAGACTAAAGGCAAATCTTCAAGAAGTAATGATGGAAAACTCCTACCACAGAAGAAGGGTGATGGACTTCTGGCAAACTATCTTCAGCCTGAGGATGGAGAATGACCATCTTCGGCAATTGTTGATTACCTTTACTGAGAAGGTAGGAGGAAATTATGGGCACGCAGAAGAATTTTGGAGAAACTTTATCTTTTTCTCCAATTCTAGATCAGGGCTCTCCAAACTTGTGGCCTTCAAATTCCCAGAATTGAAACTTGTGGCCTTCAATTCCCAGGAATTGAAATCCACAAGTCTTAAAGTTGCCAACTGTAGACCCCTGTTGTTGTTGTGGTTAGCTGGCAGCAGGTGCGGATGGCTGAGGAGAGCGAGGACTCAGGTGAGGGGTCAAGACCATTAGGGAGTGGACTGCTGCCTTCAGAGATTGTGGGGGGGCTGGCAGCAGCGATGATGAGGATCCCGAGGAGCCTGTGCCAAGTGCGCATGCACGCAGGGCTGCTTGCAGGAAAGAGCAGCTGCAACAGCACGGGTGACTTGGGAATAAGGCTGCAAGGTAATGGCCCCTCCTTCAAGAAGATAAAAGACAGCTGTGAAACGAACGTACTTTGCAGAAGGCAAAGACGTTTTGAAACTCCAGCCTCGTGGACATTCCAGTATCCTGAGTTTATATTTCAAGATTCTTACATTGCAAATTATTTCTCGCCTGTTATTTTTTTTGGCAAGTTTGGCAAGGCTTGCGCTTATCACAGTTCATGATTTTGCAGAAGCATTAAAAGGTTTCTCTCCTCTTTGGATTGCGTTTGATTTGTTGGAAAAGGGTGTGGGTCAGGAGATTTCTAGATAATAGAATATTAAATCAAAATTCCCATATCCTATTGAACGGCATATTTCTTCCCCCCTTCTTGAAATGGCATTTCTGAAACTCTGCCAGCATCGAACCTTTAAAATATTTATTTAGCTCCTCTTTCAGCTTGCTTTTCTAATCTTGGGCCACTCCCGGGGGGCTAATGAAATGTCAAAGAACAGAAAAAAAAAAGCAGCTAGCAGTAAATCCTCTGGAATCAAAAGTTTTGACTCTGGGTAATCAACTAGGGATGGCTCCTTAGTTGAAGGATTGAAAAGGTTTGAAAAGGTTTTGGATTTAGCCGGCCACTTGGAGAGACTCTATCCTCTCTCCCCCCTCTCCCCCTTGTTTCAGATGGTGTTAAGTAAACTGCCCATAATGGAGAAGAAAAGGGACAATATCTCCCTCCTGGCTCTGAACTTGAAGGGGGATCTGGAGATCATGAAAACCGTGGGCGCTAAAGGACTTGCTGGCCTCCCTCTCGTTCAGACGGCCACCGTTCTCAAACTTCAAGTGTACTTTGAGCAGGCGACTGAGGAGCTGTACTCCGTGCTGATTGATATTGAGGTATTCTCCACCGAAGCTCCGGGCATTGTGGAGGAAAAGGGGACCTTTCGGCTGACCTTCCATGCCTTCATTCTGTCCATTGGTGGTGGTAACACAGGGACTCTTTTGCCACATATCAGAGGTGGCCTATTCAGCCGGTTCTGACCAGTTCTGGAGAACCGGTAGTGGAAATGTTGAGTAGTTCAGAGAATTGGCAAATCCCGTCTCTGACTGGCCCCGCCAACCCCATCTCTTCTCTGCCTCCCATCGAGTCCCAGCTGATTGGCTGGCTCTTCTTTGGTTGCCCTGCACAGGAGAACGGAGCTGGAAAGCAGGTTAGTGGGGTGGGGAGGGAAGGGGGATTTTGCAGTAACATTCCCCTGCCACGCCCACCAAGCCACGCCCACCAAGCTACGCCCACAGAACTGGTAGTAAAAACAAATTTGAATCCCACCACTGCTTGGTACCCTACCAAACTCCCAGCTGCCGAACCTGTGAAATGCCTCTTAGGTCAATCACTCCTGTCCTGAAAATACGAAGCATCTCCTTGGTCCCTCGAGGCTGGCTTTGTGTGATGTGGGAACGGTTGCAAGGGGTTCACTGGGGTGTGTATGTTTAGGATAGAATAGAATTCTTTATTGGCCAAGTGTGATTGGACACACAAGGAATTTGTCTTGGTGCAAATGCTCTCAGTGTACATAAAAGAAAAGGGACATTCGTCAAGAATCATATGGTACAACATTTAATGATAGTCATGGGGTATAATAAGAATAGAATAGAATAACGAAATGAAAGGAATAGAATTAGAATTAGAATAGAAATAGAAATAGAAATAGAATAGAAATAGAATAGAATAGAATAGAATAGAATAGAATAGAATAGAATAGAATAGAATAGAATAGAATAGAATAGAATTCTTTATTGGCCAAGTGTGATTGGACACACAAGGAATTTGTCTTGGTGCAAATGCTGTCAGTATATATAAAAAAAAGGATATATTTTGTCAAAAGTCAAGAATCATCAGGTACAATACTTAATAATAGTCATAGGGTTATATAGTCATAGGGTATATAGTATATAGAATATAGTCATAGGGTACAATAAGCAATCCAATCATACTAGGAATCAGTCAATAAAAATTGTTGGGATACAAGCGACAAGGAAGGTTATAGTCATACAGTCACAAGTGGGAGGAGATGGGTGGAAGGAAGGATGGGAGGATTAATAGTAATGCAGACTTAGTAAATAGTTGGACAGTGTTGAGGGAATTATTTGTGATGGCATGTAGGGAAAAAACTCCCCTTGTGTCTAGTTGTTCTGGTGTGCAGGGCTCTATTTGAGGGTAGGAGTAGAAATAGTTTATATCCAGGATGTGAAGGGTCTGTAAATACTTTCACAGCCCAATTTTTGACTCGTGCTCTATACAGGTCCCCGACAGAAGGGAGATTGGTAGCCATTGTTTTTTTTTCTTTTTTTTCTTTTTCTTTTACTTCCTCCCACAAGTACTACTTCTCCGAATGGTACCGGGAGTATAAAGACTACTATATCAGCATCTCCAAGTTCACCACGAATCTGTTGGGCGAAAACCTGAAGCAACTCAAGCTGCTGATTGAGATTCAGAGCCTGAAGAAATCGGAACGCTACGGGAGCGAATTCAAGCAGCTGGACATCCCTGTCCTGAGACAGAAGTTGGATATCTTCCTGGAGGTAGTGCCAAAAAGAGGAGAGAGGGGGGATGGATAGATAGCTCTTTTCCTCTCTTCATTTTTCTCCCGAATGGGAAAGGGAGAAGAAGGTTGGAGGTCCCTGTGCTAGAAAGGAATGGGAGGATCCGTGACTGATCAATCAGTGAGGTTCTTCATAATCTAAAAGTTATTTTTTTTTTAATTGCTTGTAGAATCTGAAATACAAAATCCAGGTTTGGGTGAGATGTGGCTAGGTTTGGAGTTTGGCCGAGCGTGTTGTGTGAACCTACACAGTTGTAGTGTGTTCAACAAGCCAGTAGGTTAGCAGAATGAGAGGTGCCCCAATGAGACAGCCTCCTGAGGTTGTGGGTATTCCATCATGGGGCGGGGGTGTTTTGAAGAAGAGACTAGATCACCATTTGTCTGAGATGGTTTAGTGCAGAGATTTCCAAACTTGGCAACTTTAAGCATAGCTGGCTAGAGAATTCTGGGAGTTAAATTCCACAAGTCTTAAAAGTTGCCAAGTTTGGAGAGCCCCGGTGTAGGATCTCGTGCTTCAGAAGACCTCCAAGGTCCCTTCCAACTTTTGTTATTCATCACCCACTTCAATATTGATCTTGTTCTTTTCCTGATCTTTCTACCTGTCATTTCACACCCCCAAGTTGGGGTGTAGCTTCCTGGGAAGGTGTGTGTGAATGATGGGCACCAGCACCACCCCAAGACAGAAGGGTTGACAAATGATCGCCAAACTGGCGTTTGTAGTCATATTGCAAAACACAACCTGAAATAATATGAAAAGTTGTATTCCCATGCAGAATATTTCCCAAGATCTATGCAGTCTGGAAGAACAACTCCTGGAAATCGAATCCAAGGCTCAGCAACTGGAAAATAACAAAGAAGGGAAGAAATACATGGAAAAATGCTCCGCTTTATTCTCCATCCAGGACTTTGAGAAGGGACTTAGAAATGACATTAAAAGACTCCATAATGTTCTAGAAGTCCTGAAGCCAAAATTGAAGGTAACCGCTTTTTGCCGGTATCATTTTCAGAAAAAATAATAATAATAATACACAGGTGTGGTTCATTCATCCCATGGCACCCTAAGGTGCTTGGTTTGGGTCCTGGTACACAGGTAATCCTGGACTTATGACAGCTTATTTAGTTCATGACCATTCCGAGTTACAACAGCGCTGAGAAAGGGGACGGATGGCCGTGTTTCAGAGTTACAAATTTTGCAGCATCCCCATAATCCCAGCGATCAAAATTCAGGCGCTTGGCAAAATTGGCTCATACTTATGATGGTGACAGTATCCCTTGTGCAACTTCTGACAAGCAAAGTGAGTGGGGAAGCCAGATTCATTTAACTTAGAACTTGGAATAACTAAAAAATTATAACCTCCGTGTTGCAAAATTCAATGTCTCCCTTAAGAGAAATTGCATGGGTGCCATAAGTGGAGGAATACCTGTAATGGGGTCAATCCGTTCCATGACGGACTAGGTCACTGATCGCCAATCTTTTGGACTTCAGGGACCACCAAACTCATAATTTTAAATCCCGCGGACCAGAGACCCTGGGAAAACCCCCCAAAAAGTCTGCAGGAAAATTCCCCACCCCATTTTCCTACCAATTGATCATTCTTTATTTGGGATTGCAGGATACCTTTTCCAGCTCCGTTCTCGGGGGGAGAGAGAGAGAGAGAGAGACTTTTGGCTCCATGCAAGGAAAACAGCAGACGCCGCAGAAGTCTTTCTTTCTCTCCCCCAAACTCCGCCAGAAATGAGTCTTGTGAGACTTGTTGCACTAGCGCAGCGTCTTGGAGCAGGAGGCCTTGCAGGGTCCCAAAGACTCATTTCTGGCAGAGTTTGGGGGAGAGAAAGAAAGACTTTTGCTGCTTTCCTTGCGTGCAACCAAAAGCAGAAGAAGAAAGAAGCGGAAAGAAGCAGCCTGGTGGCCAGACAAGGCATGTGGGGCGAGTGGGGCAAGTTCCGCCCCACACTGCCCTTTCTCCTCTCCCCTCACTACCTTGTGTTGTTCGCAATGCAAGCGACACAAGCCTTGTGTTCCCATGGGCCATGTGGGTGGCACAGCCTTGTGTTCCCGCACAGCCTGGATTAATTGCTTGGGGGGGGTGACCATCAAAATTTTCTCATGGACCTCCAGTGGTCCCCAGCCTACCAATTGGCAACCCCTGGTCTATTTAAACCATGGATAAGGAACGCTGGTGTGAACTCGGCTTGTTAGGATGCAGAACGGGTTTAGGGTTTCTGGATAACCTATATTTGTGGGGAACCCTCCAAGCGGAGTGACGAATCCCATCTATTCCAGTATCTTGCCAATGCCAGGCGGGAGGTGGCAGCCAAACACCTCTCCTACTTCAAGGAAGCAGAGGCGGCCATGAAATCCTGCGAGGAGCGATCGAAACAATGGCGGAAGGACCTGAAGGTGCTCGAAGAACAGATGGACACGAGAGGCCCCCAGGACTTGGAGGGAGCCAAGAAACTTGGAGGAAACCTAAGCTTAATAGAAAAGCAAATGACGGTATTTGTCTCCTTCCTTATGTCCGTGAGGGGAAGGGGATATCATTTAGTATAGGTCTTCTCACTCATGTCTTGACCCTCCCACCCCCAGGAGGTATTTTGGGGAGTTTGTTCTGCCCTTCGGCTTCCGAGCTTTCAGCACGTTTTCCCCATGTTGCTCTTTGGCCAAATTTAAGAACCATCTTGATTCTTGACTTACCAGTAGAGTAACAAAGCCATTGACTTAAACATCTCTATGGTACAGTACTACATACCTGTGGGTTGGTGGTTGGCTTCTTCTTGATTGATGCTTGCTATTAATGGAATGTCAAGCGTGGGAAAATCTGGAAAATCCAGGCAGTTGAAATGAATAAGGTAAAGGTAAAAGTAAAGGTTCCCCTCGCACATCCGTGCTAGTCGTTTCTGGCTCTAGGGGGCGCTGCTCATCTCCGTTACAAAGCCGAAGAGCCAGCGCTGTCCGAAGACGTCTCCGTGGTCATGTGGCTGGCATGACTAAACGCCAAAGGCGCACGGAACACTGTTCCCTTCCCACCAAAATGGTCCCTATTTTTCTACTTGCATTTTTTACGTGCTTTTGAACTGCTAGGTTGGCAGAAGCTGGGACAAGTAATGGGAGCTCACTCTGTTACGCTGCGCTAGGGATTCCAACCGCCGAACTGGCGACCTTTCTGATCGACAAGGTCAGCGTCTTAGCCACTGAGCCGCCGCGTCCCTTTTTCAAATGAATATAAAGGTTTATTGGCAGCTTAAAGCTCTCTACCAGAATCTGAACTACTAACGGTCCAGGCAAATTGGTGGGAGATAAGAGTCAACGGAATTCAAGGTGGGCTGGATTTAGTTTCTTGTTGGGTGTGAAGTGATTCTAGACCGATGACACATTTGACTCCTCCCTCTAGCTGAGCCTGGTTGTCTCCTACATGGAGGTTTCCAAAATTTAAAATGTGGGCCTCGGGTCTTAAGACTATTTACACGTGACATCTTCAACCACAAACTTGGGTTGAAGAAAATGTGTGTAACACTCTGCCCTTTTACCAGATTGCGGGCATATAATATTGTGGGAGAATTAAAATAGCCCCCTTATTGGTTTGTTGTTAACTGCTATAACTTGGTTAAAGAGATATACAAGGTGTCATGTTCACTATTGAGGGTTATAGCTGAGCCTGCTGGGTGAACAGAGCCCTGTTCTGGCATGGAGCTGGTTTCTAATTTTGGAATTCATGTAGAACTCCATTTATTCAACCTTACAGTGATTAAATCTTCCATTTTTGAGGCAGAATTTCCCATTTCGGGCTCTCCTGACCCAAAATCTTAAAAAGTCCTAAGCTTAGCCTTAAACCTTATGTGTGGAGTCTTCCATGACTACTAATGGTTACCCCGCTTTGGGTAAATCGCATTAAAGAAGCTTCTCTTTCGCCTTCAACTAGGACCACCTGGATGAAGCAGCCAAGATTGAGAAGGAAGAACTCAAAGGCCTCATGTCACATCTTGCAAAAACCAACCTGTCAAAACAGGAGACATAAAAAAAAGAAGACATGGCAGATAATGAAGGCGATTCTATTCCACAAGGAGCCGACTTCGCTCATTATGTATTTTTCTAAGAATAATTGTTATGTATTGTATATATAAGTTAGAATAAAGGCATTTTTTTGGCATTTAATTGGGCTGGCTGTTCTTCTGGCGCATCCCTCTAGAGTAGATTTGATGGGGCGAGCAAAAACAAGGTGTCCAACGTAGTGAGTGCAGAGAAGAGCAACCAGGAGGATGAGGGGACTGGAGGCTCAAACATAGGATAAACCGTTGCAGAAACCAGGCCTGGCTAGTCTAGTGAAGAGAAGGACCAGGGGAGACAGGAGAGCAGTCTTCCAATATTTGAGGGGCTGCCCCAGAGAGGAGGAGGGGGTCAAGCTATTTTCCAAAACACTAGACAAGAAGTAATCAAGGAGAGAAGCAACTTAGAACTAAGGAGAAATTTCCTAACAGTGAGAACAATTAACCAGTGGAACAAATTGTCTTTAGAAGTTGTGAATGCTCCCAACACTGGAAGTTCTTAAGAAGAGATTGGATAGCCCTTTGTCTGAACTGGTATAGGGTCTTCTGTCTGAGAAGTGGGGTTGGACTAGAAGACCTCCAAGGTCCCTTTTTGACCCTATTATTCTGGCAGAGGACTCCTTCAGGCAACTTGCAAAGAAGGAATCAAATGGGATACTCTCCCATCCAAGAACTAAAGGAGTCTCAGCTTGCTTTAAAAAAAAAGTTTTATTAATTTTCTATTGTTTACATTTTGTTAGTGCTTAATAAACATCATATTGTCTGTGTTGTTTTATTTGTTTAGCAGTGCAGATTACATTCTTATTCTCCACCCCATTTTTCCCCCCCAACCACTGGTAGAATAAGTTTTTATGTTTGATAATATTCTGTATCTTGTTTGATCTTCAATGTAAGCCTGTCCATTTCTGAGCAATCCCATATCTGCCTAACCATCTCTTCGTCTCGTGGCATTTCTTCATTTTTCAAATATTGTGCTAATCTTGCTTTCTTGAGATAAGCCTTATTGGAAGGCGTAGCAAGATGCCATAGATTTGCATCCAGTGCAAGATTAGCGCACCGTGTGCTTCAACCTCCAGGAACTGTTTACAAGAAACTTTCCAAAGAGGTTAAAAAACAAACAAACCCCCAGAAAATTCTCCAGCTGAGTTCATGCTAAAGAAACCTGGGCGGAGCAAATGTCCCTTCCAACCCACTTCCTCCCCTGGAGTTGTAAACAAAGCCACGGGACAAACTAGCTGGGCTACCGGATTGCATCACTGAGTAAACCTGATCTCTTGGGCAACTCGAGTGTGAAGGAATTTCCACACCGGAGTTCCCATCTAGGGTTGCAGCCCTGGCTAAACCACCAGGGACGGATCAAGAAACAATTGCGACCCTTTCGGAGGGCAGGGCCGGCTCTAGATCAGATGGGCAGGCTCCACTCCACCAGCACTTAAACTGGTTGTATGAATTGCGACTGCATGCAAACGATTGTACGAACGGGACTTCCTTTGTTGCCTTCTCGACCTGCTTGGTTTAACTCATATTTCCAACACTGCAAAGAAAGCCCAATTAGCACCTGCACTTTCTGAGGCTGCTGAAAAAGAGGGGTCTGGGTGAGAAGTTGCTGGTTACTTTTTACTGTTCTACCACCAAGAGCATATTGTGTAACGGTGTGGTGTGCTGGATGCTCTGTAACGGATAAGAAGATGCTCCAGAGTTATAAACACAGCACAAAAAATCATCGGTTGCTCTCTTTCTTCTTTGGAACACTGTTTCAAATGTCATTGTATTCGTGGAATGCAATGGCAATAAAGGTATTCTATTCTATTCTTTATTTTATTTAATCTATTCTATTCTACAGTTTGTAAAACAGCCATCAAATTGATTCAGCTCCTACATTCAAGATACAAATACATTACGACTCAGCACCAAACGGTGAACGATAGGTTCACCGTTTCTCAACCTTAAAACATTTTTAAGATGCCTGGACTTCCAACTCCCAGAATTCCCCAGCCAGCTGGGGAAGGTGAGATGGCAGCCTGTTTTAAGGGCAGGTAGCCCTCGACTTAGTTTGTTTAGTGACCGTTTGAAGTTAGGATGGCACTGAAAAAAGGGACCAGTGTCCGGTCTTTTCACACTTATGACCATTGCAGCATCCCGTCAGAAATTCAGATGTTTGGCAACTGACTCGTAGTTATGACTGCTGCAGTTGTCTCGGGTGTGTGTGTGTGTGTCATCTGATCCCCTTTTGCAGCTTCCTGACTAGCAAAGCCAATGGGAAAACCAGATTCACTTAATAACTGCAGTGATTCATTTAACAACCGGGGCAAGAAAAGTCGTAAAATGGAGCAGAATTCACTTAAGTGTTTCACATAACAAAAAATGTTGGGCTCGGTTGAAGTTGTTAAGTCGAGGACCACCAGTATTGTAAATGTTTATATGTACTATTTATACCACGGGTTTTGTGGTGCCTTCTGGCTAACCTGTCTGGGATGTGGTGGCTCAGTGGCCAAGACGCTGAGCTTGTTCAGAAAAGTCGGCAGTTCGAATCCCTCGTGCCGCGTGACGAAGTGAGCTTGTCCCAGCTTCTGCCAACCGAGCAGTTCAACAGCACGTAAAAAATGCAAGTAGGAAAATAGGGACCCCTTTGGTGGGAACGGCGTTCCGTGCGCCTTCAAAGGCATTTAGTCATGACGGTCACATGACCACGGAGACGTCATCTTCGGACAGTGCTGGCTCTTCTCTGGAGCACGTCTGTGTGAGGGGAAACTTTACCTAGCTAACCCGTGACAATGATTTTTGACGTTCTTTGCAGGGTACCGGTTCTTGCCAAGCACACAAAAGCAGCAACGACCACAACAGGGAGGGTGGGTGCAAAGGTTTAATCCTCCAAAACATTCCTTACATAGTCAAAGTGCATTAGACCTTTACGGGAAAAAAAAACCAGGGTGGACGAGGAAGGAAGGGAATTAAAAACAGAATGGCCAGGTCCGAGACAATCACTCATTCCCAGGGGCAAATAATGCAGGAGGCATCCATTCTCAAAGTCCGTTTCTGGTTGTGGTTATTTTGCAGAGCACATCTTGCATGGAAGGGAGGCAAAGTGGGGGGGGGGGGGGGGGGGGCAGAAGCACTGTCTTAAGTTTGGATGCGTAATGAGGTCGACACCAGTGAAGGGAATGTTAGCCTGCATCCCACCCCGGGAGGCGAGTTTAAGAACACCTTGGCCGAAAATTAGCTGGCCGAGCTCCCGAATGGCAAGGAACGGAGGCCACGAAACTGGACAGAAATGGCGAGCGCGGTCCCCGTTTTCTTGCCCCGGTGAAGGATCTGCCAGCAAACTAGATCGCTATGTAAACACGATGCCTCCTCCTGCCGCCGCCGCTGCCTTTTATCAAATGTTCGCCATTCAGGTAATCCGTTCCGATTCTGCCATCTTGAGAGCCGGCAATGGTACACAAAGTCCACTCAGCACTAATGGCAACACAAGACAGGAATGGGGGAGAGGAGGAGTTAAACATTGCAGGCGCAGCTGCTGGGGGGGGGGGGTGGTTCATGATGACGAGACAACAGGGCGGGCAAGGTGGGTATTATTTTTAAAAGCAACCGAACGTCTCTTGCGTTAAGAATTTATCTATTGTGCCAATAGATAAAAATTCGCTCCGGGTTCCTTTCGCGGATGCAACCGTCGCGCATTGCAGAGCTCTTCCGTAACAGAAGCGTGGGCAGAGGCTGGCATCGTTTCGGTTAAGCATAGTTAAAACATTGCTTTTTTTGTGTGATTTTTTTTAAAAAGAAAAAAAAAACCCATACTGTTAATTCATTGAATAGGTTTTTCCGTAGCATCTTCATGAGCCCAACGGGAGTCAAAGGCAATTCACATTCACGATGTGAATTTGTAACACCTTTTTTTTAAAAAAAGACTTTTCCGTATCCCATTAAAATATCATTCATGTTCTTAGGATAACCATGGTGATGAGGCCTGAAAAAAAAAAAGGAAATGTTGTTGGTGGGTTGTAGCTTAAATTGACATTATTTGTGCCTGCGGAATATAATAAATATAAGTGTCAGGATTCCGGCAGTTACCCCCATTTAAATCATGAGTCTTGAGCCAAACTTCCAAAACGTTAAAGGATTTATTGGGAGTTAACAATGCCGGCACTGCCTGGGTGTAGCCAACTCTAATTCATTGTCACCTTTGACCCTGGTTTTCCCCCCACCCCCTGGGTGTTTCATAATTCATATTCTCCAATGGGACACAACCATAACCCAGAGTCATCAATCATGTTCTCTAGTTAGAATTTTGCACGGCAGAAACTTCAGTCACCTAGTTACTATCTTTGAAAACGTTTATGGAATGCACTTTTGGTTTGCAAGCTGCTGCGCTGCTGTTTCCCCCCTCCCTTTCTGTTGGCAGCTCTAAAAAGACCAGAGAAATATTTTATATGAGTTGACAATAAGCAGTTTTTATATTTATGGAAATTTGGCACATGCTGAATTTTACCCATATTATCAACACTCCCTTAATGACTGGTGGCTTAATAACCATTTGAAGTTATGATGGACTCAAGAGTTACGACCTGTCCCTGAACAGTGGACTGCTGTGCCCCCCCTCCCCAATTATGTGATTATATTTGAGAGCCTGGCAACCAGATGCCACTTATGATTGGCTGCAACATTCGGTGCTCACATGGTCGCGGTTTGAGACTTTTCACCCAAAGCACTCATTGGATATGCCGGATTTGTTCAACGACCACGTGATTTATTTTTTTTAACCACTGGCATAACAACGGCCGTAAGATCGAGTCAGGTACCCACTTAACCGCCATAACGCAGGGCTCTATTATGGGTTGTGAGCTGAAAACTCTATTTGGGGGGATTTTGTAGCTTGGCTTTCTTTGCATGGCGTTTCTCACACAAATCAGGGACGCTGCACATGCCCTGTAACACGTGTGAAAGCAAGGAGGGGCATACCTAACACGTAAGCAGCGACTAACTTCTGATTCACGCTCAAGTGGAGGTAGAGAGGCACCAGGGAATCCAATTCTCCCAATGTGGGAAGCATAAGAGCGGCAATGCACAGGATCCC